CCACTGTCTAACCATAGATTATTTATAATATAATTGTTGCACTTTTAGTGATCCAACTGTCTAACCATAGATTATTTATAATATAATTGTTGCACTTTTAGTGATTCAACTATCTAACCATAGATTATTTATAATATAATTGTTGCACTTTTAGTGATCCAACTGTCTAACCATAGATTATTTATAATATAATTGTTGCACTTTTAGTGATCCACTGTCTAACCATAGATTATTTATAATATAATTGTTGCACTTTTAGTGATCCAACTGTCTAACCATAGATTATTTATAATATAATTGTTGCACTTTTTCCCACTGTCTAACCATAGATTATTTATAATATAAGTAATGGATACTTCATACCTGTAATGAACAGAAGAGGTCGTGTTTAAGGATGAAAACATAATACAAGATTTAAAAAAAGGAAGAAAATTATACAATATCAACAGTTATTAGAAAGATGATGAAAGATAATGTATTTTTTTAATAAATATTTGGTTATACCTCACCTTTTTGGATGAAGAGAGAATTTATGTATTCAATTTGTTATTTTTTTTTGGAATTGTAGAGATAATGTTAATCCATCAAAAGACTGTGGGCCTTTTCGTGGTATCCAAGCAGTTGATATTCTGGTGAGAGATCCCGAAGAACAGGGCTGGTTATCTTTGGTTCTTCGTCTTCTAGCTTCAGCTCCAGTGATTGCTGGAATTTTGCTTTTTTTGTTGTTAGTATTATTCACTTTATCGAGCTTTAATTATTTCTGATTTTTATGCAAATATATTTATTTTGAGAGATACGTGGATGTGTTTTTCTTGCTACAGTTTTTCAGATAATGTACTTACAAGTTGCTTCAAAAAAAAATGTTCATTTTGTTTTATGTATTTATTACCTTGTTTCACAATCAGACTTCATAGTGGCTTATACATTGGTATGTAATTACTGTTCTATCTAAAAATAGCATTTGTAGTATGAAAGTTTAATTTGTCTGTAATTTAAACTTAAACGTTGTTAAGCTATTAATACCACAAGCACACTAATCTCATTAAAATTAAAGCATCACAAAAAAACCTCATTTGACAGTTCTGTGAATATTTACAGATGTTATTTTAAAATACACAATGTTTGATAACTTTATTTGAAACTTTCTGTTTGGACAGCCATTTTTTTTTGTCAATCAAGTGTTACTTTTCAAAGACTGATAGCTCTATATAATAGCTGAAGTGTTCATATATAAATGCTATAACTTATAAGCCCTTTTATCTCAAGGATGAACTTTGATGTAGGGACACAAGTTCTTGTAATATAAAATCCTATTAAAAGATTATGAAAATTGAAATCAGTACTCCCATATATTTATTAATTGTTTTACATTTTTACTGAGCTTTCATGGCAGTTACTAATTTCTTTTGGCAAAAATTCACTGATATTTTTTAGGACTATTATTCTAGTCAGTCTAGTATGGAGAAACATGTAATAAAATTGGGAATTCCGTTTTGTGAACACTAAAAGTAGCAATTGTTTGTGAAATCAGTTGTTTTATATAAACTGTGTTACTATTTTTCTTGCATTTGGTATTGAAGAGCCTCAGATATGTTACTTGTATTAGCTCCTAGTATATTATTCACAGAGTGGATTTTGTGGTTAAAATCTTCCAAATCAAACTGTCAGTGAAATTGTTAAAAACATTTTCTTTTTTAGCTACACATTAATTTCTGTCACTTAAAAGTAAGAATATTTTATATGATGAAAGGAAAGCCAATGACATATTTCATGCTTTGTGTCTGTGATTGTTGTACATTTCTTTGTTAGGAAAGCCAATGACATATTTCATGCTTTGTGTCTGTGATTGTTGTACATTTCTTTGTTAGGAAAGCCAATGACATATTTCATGCTTTGTATCTGTGATTGTTGTACATTTCTTTGTTAGGAAAGCCAATGACATATTTCATGCTTTGTGTCTGTGATTGTTGTACATTTCTTTGTTAGAAAAGCCAATGACATATTTCATGCTTTGTATCTGTGATTGTTGTACATTTCTTTGTTAGGAAAGCCAATGACATATTTCATGCTTTGTGTCTGTGATTGTTGTACATTTCTTTGTTAGGAAAGCCAATGACATATTTCATGCTTTGTGTCTGCGATTGTTGTACATTTCTTTGTTATTAACAACAGTTGTGTGATTATCGGGAACCGGTTGATCAAATATCTGATACTTTTAATCCGATATCTCTCCCCAGAACTTCCATATCTCTAATGAATATGTAATACTGACTTTTAGCTTTTGTTTTTATTTGCAGAGTTGGTGTTTATTACCTTCGTGCTACAGCAAAGGCCCACAAGAACATAGTGGATTTGTTGCGAGAACAACTTATATTAGTGAGTTGTTGAATTTATTAATTAAACAGATAATATCATTATATTTACCTCCTCATATTAATCACAACATATTAAATACCAGTCATTTATTCTGGTCAATTAAGATGGAGAATTTAACAGACTGATTTCGAGTTCATAGCCAGATGATGTCGTAAATCAGTTGGCCTATATTTTACTTGCTGTCATTTTTCAAAAATGTTGTTCTGAAATGCTGCTCCAAAGATATTTCAACAAAATACATGTTATTTAATGAAGATGACAAACAACTTCAGAAAAAAATGTTTAATTACTTGTAACGAACGTTTCGGCATATGCATTTATGAAGGGTCAGTGAACGTCACAGGTTACCAAACTGATATTAATTTACAGCAACAGAAAATAAAAAACAGCTAAAACAATATAAAAGGAAAAGTGTACGTGATACAAGTATAGTTGAACAGTTTTGAGTCGTTGATCGTATAAATAGAGAAAATTATAATAATAACATAAAAAAAGATAAAATCAAAATTAAATTAAAAATAATAATAAAAGGTTAAAGAGGCCAGGCATTGTACCTATTAATGTAAGGGCATCTGGATGGAATCAAAAGTGATTCGTTATATTTTCTGTTGAGAAAATGGTCACAAGTTTCTAAACTTTTGATTGCATAAGGTGTGCCATGTTGTTTTAAGTAATCTTCAGTGTTAGCTTCTTTGTTGTCAAGATTTCTAGTGGCACGAATGTGTTCTTTGAAACAATCATGTATTGGACGACTGGATTCACCTGTATATGTGGCCAAACACTGTGTACATATAAGCTCATAGTCAGTGATTTTAAGCGTGCAGGACTTCTATAAGCCATTCGTCTATGCAAAACACTTTTTGGATTTACATGTATTGTCATTATTTAAGACTGAACAAGAGAATATATATCCTTCAGTTTTCTACCAGGATTTTGTATGATTTTCATATTCAAATCAGATCTTGTAATTGCTTGATGAAGGCGAGTAGTTAAAGGTTCATCCATGAAGGGCATAATCCATGAAACAGTGTCTTGATGTGGTAGTTTCTTTTTTTGATGTCGTTTGTTAATATCTTGCGAGTCAAAACTGTGAAATGTCTTAGTACTGTAACTATACAGGTAGCCATTGGACAATAGTAGCTTTTGAAGTTTGATCCTGGCGTGCGTCTACCCGTCCCTGGTGTTGCAGATTTCCTCAATTCTATTAAGTTGACCAATAATGACACCTCGTTTGGTAGCTGGTGCGAGTTAGAATGTAGAATAATGGTTTTAACGTGTGATTTAAAATATACGGAAGTAATAAGTTTGTTATGTATAGATTTCTGGACATTATCGGTATGAGTAAGTGTGAGCATTATGTCAGATTGTTGATTATTTAATGAATTCAACCAATTCTAAAAGGGAAGTGAGTCCATGATTCCAAATACCGAAAATGTTGTTAATATATCTGTATCATCTAGTTGGTTCAAGATTAGTTTCAAAATTCCACTCAGTAAGAGCTGATGATTCAAAGAAATACATAAAAAGAGAGGCCACGATGACAGTGGCATTATTACCCACAGTGATGCCTTTCTTTTGAATCAAATTTGAAATAACTGTTGTTGATAATAAATTTGAGAGAATTTTCAAAGCCTTCTGTAGGAATATCAATGAAAATACATGTTTCTTACGTTCAAAAGATTGTATAGTTTTTTTTTATTAGTATTGCTTTATAATTACTCCTTTTTTAGATTTGTAGGTAAGCAAGATAGGCATAGCTTTAAGAATAGGCTTAGATTGTTTTCTTAAAAACATGTTACTTTATGTTTATTTGTTTTAGTGCAAAGTTACATAATAGACTATGTGCACTCTGCCCAAAATATAGAATTGAGCCTCAGATTTTAGCATTTTAAGACTGTAAACTTACAACTGGCCCACTGCAGTTTGTCCTTTGTGTTAGTCACACCATCATGTTGTTAAAATCATTTTGTCAGTCCACAAAACCTTGTACTCTGAGATTTTACTTGATTTTTTCTTGGTGTTGGAGTGTTGTTTGTCATCTTTTCAATAACTAATGTACAGTTGTTTTGAAATGCCACATTGTTTTGTAAAAGTTAAGGTATCGTTGGTGTAAATGTAGTAAAAATACTTTGACATTAAAAAGAATTTTGTGTAGTTTTAAATTGTATGATTTTTTTTTGAGGTAGAAAGATAATACAATACAAAACATATCACTTGCCAAATTTGTTAGTTTTTTTTGCAGTGTATTGCATTACAGTTACAAATATTACAATACAAAATTTCTGACAATGCCCACTGCAACATTTTGTATTCTCAACCCCGTCACACACCAAACATGCTCACCCTTTCAGCTGTGGGGGCGTTATTATGTGACGGTCAATCCCACTATTCATTGGTAAAAGAATAGCCCAAGAGTTGGACGGTGGGTGGTGATGACTAGCTGCCTTCCCTCTAGTCTTACACTGCTAAATTAGGGACGGCTAGTGCAGATAGCCCTCGTGTAGGTTTGCGCGAAATTCAAAAACAATAACAAAACAATTTTCAACCCTTGTGACTCACTCATTCTGTATTGACAGTTGCAAAAATTTTTCATAAACAAGTTTGTTTCCTCTGGCTAAAGGATATGGTTATAGTTTGAAATGTAGTAATCTATAACACTATTATCTTGCAATGACTGCTACCTGCATGTTCCAGTCATATAAATATAATAATGTTTGTGTACTTACTTATATATATGAATAAATATGTATTTATTTTTCTATTAGGAAGGAAAAGATAGGGTGTTCCTGCTGCAATTATTTGAAAGTGCTTTACGAGAACGACGGGTATCCGCAAGCACTTCCTCATCTGAAGGAATGATTAAAACAGTTATAGGTAATTTAATTTTAGCTAATTAACCTAAGTCATACTTTCGGGTTCTTCATACTTTGCTATTTTCTTCTCCCAACAACTTGCTATGAAACGGTACAGAGTTTGAGAACTTTCTATTAAAATGATTTTGGTGTCTCACCACTTTGTTATAGTCAATGTCACCATGTTCACTCATGCTCTGTCTCACAACTAGACACCTTTGTAATAACCCTGCTGCGTAGTTTCCATTGCAGAAGTCTTCTTCTTAAGGCTGTCATGTTTATAACACATCATTCCTGCTTGCAGCCTTCCATAATTCATCTAGTTTACGAGGACAACAGTTTCTTAGCACTAGTTTGAACAATCCAGTTGCACAAAAATCCATAGGCATCATGACTGGTGACTTGACTGGTATGTCTTTGTATATAATAGCATGATTTCCCGTTTCATTCTCCAGCTGCTTCGGGTATGCATTAATTGAACTAATATGTCATAGAAGCAACTTGTATACATGTGGCTTGTTCCCCTTTTCCAGACAGACAGAGGTCCATCCTGATTATGTTTTGTACCGTTGTTTGAGGCATGTAGATGGCTTTAGTCACTGTTCTTTGTGTTTGTTAATTCTCACTGTTACAAGATGCCATGCATTGCTTACCACAGCTGGCATAGCACTTGTTGAAGGTTTCTTTCTGGATGGTCCTGATACCCTAAGATGATCCATATTCCTTTGTTTTCCAATATCACATATTTATCATCATTTTGTAAATTCTAAATCCCCAATCTGAACACACTTTTATGATCTGTTATGAGTGTTTTTAACAAGATTGGTTAAAGATGTTATTCCACATGTTCAGGATACAAAAATATTTAAACCTATATAAAATAAAATCTATTTTGTTTATGTTTACCATACAAATTATCCATTAGCTCATTTTTGTACATTGTACAAAGCCTGAATAAGTCGGAGATATAGATAAGTATTTTAAAATCACAAAATTATTCTTAAATTATGATATATTGCTTGACACTGTAGACATGTAATAAGAAAGAGCAGTAAAATGAAAAATTTAATGAGAAACATATGAAAGTGATTGGAATTTCTGCTATTAGGTCATGTACTGGTTAGGTTTTGGATTTCGCACAAAGCTACACGAAGGCTATTTGCACTAGCCGTCCCTAATTAAGCGGTAAAAGACTAAAGGAAAGGCAGCTAGTCATCACCACCCACCACCAACTCTTGAGCTACTCTTTTACTAATGTATAGTGGGATTGACCATCACATTACACCCCCCCACACACACGGCTGAAATGGAATGTTTGGTGGAACAGGGCATCGAACCCATGACCATCAGATTGCGAGTCAAGTACCCTAACCACCTGGCCATGTAAAGCAAGGGTTCATCTCAAGTCTAGATTTTTTTTTTCTCTCTGTTTGACTCTTAGTGGGTCAGCAGTAAGTTCACAGACTTACAATGCTAAACTCCAAGATTCGATTCCTCTCAGTGGACAGTGTAAATAGCTCATTGTGTAGTTTTATGCCGAAACAACAACAGCAATCTTTTCTCTCTTTAGTGGTAAAAATATTGTTTCTGCCATTAATGAATGACCATTATTGTCATGGCTAACCTTGGTATTAGGCCTAGTAATTTGTCAAATAAATAAAAACACTGTCACCTGGTGTTGTTTTAAATTTTTTACAAGAAAAATAAACATAAAAACATTCACCTGGTAATTTTTTAATCAGCTTGAAAACTTTATCAGAAAAACAAACTGAATACTAGTTTTTGTTTTTTTTTGATAACCCTATATTAAATAAAACTTTTCACTTTTTTTTATTTTACAAAAAAATAGTGGATGCAAAGAGTCCAATCCTAATTAAAAAACAGAATTACAATTATTTAATGATTCAGTGTAATGCAAGTGTAATAACTAATATAACACATTAAATATCTTTAGTGTGATTATTTAAGCAGCAAATTTGATTTATTTTTAGATGCTCAGCAGCCAAGTCGTGACATGAAATCACGAGATGAGCATTCTTTAGAACCAGTGGAATTGACCAATAAGCTATATAGAGATAAGTCTTTTGCTGGTACTAAGTCTACTCCTCAAGAGCAAGACACGATACCACCCAACTTTTTAACGCCAGGATACATGCCTGCTGATGTGCCAGCTAATGAAAAATTGCACTCTTCAGTTAGTAAAGATGAGCCGGTGCGAGTGAAACCTGGTTGGGGAAGAGCGAGACATATTTCTCCAAATGGAGCACCTTATTCTGCTAGTCAAGAACATATTCCCTCTGATCAAGAAACTTCTCCTTATGATAGGGGAAATCATAATTCACAACAAGGTAGGGGAAACTATCCGATGAATTACCCCCAGAACCGAGAGCACCACCTACCATCTCGTGGCTTTTCAACACCACACTTACAGAATTCTTACATTCCCGATTCAGTCCGTCCTGGCGGTGGTAATTATCCTGGTTTTTCTAAGACTGCCATCCCATCTCCTCCTCGCTCTTCTCATCAACAAGGTTTTCAGTACCTTGGACGAAATGACCATCAGCTTAGGTCACATCTGCCTCGTGGCCTACATCAACATACACCTTCTCCACAGAATATCATGGACACCGACCGAGACGAAGGTAATAACCAGTCAAAGTCACCTTAGACAAAAATACCCAAGTCAAAATCTTTGTGCTATACAAACACTGGGAAGCAGAAGATTGAAAAAGAAATGCTAGTGTAAGTCTTCTTTTTATCAATTAAGATTTTATAGACATATATATTCAAAACCAAAAATAATATTGTTAATTGTATACTATTTATATAACATATTAGATAATAGTATGATATCACAGAAATAGTGATAATAGTTTTGAATCATTTTTTTACTGATCCAATAAGTATGTAATTACATTTCTTCACTGAATGCTAGAGCTTGTTGTTACAAAATACAAAGTTCTAGTTGAGATGTTGTCGGCCGTTTACAAAACATCAACTCAAATGGAATATAATGCCTAGGCTAGTGAAGTATACCTTATAATTTTTTGTTGTTGTTGTTACTGTAAGCAGAATAGTTGGGTTAGCACTTGTCATATAGTTTTATATTAATTGTAATACAACAGAACTGGTAGTAACTGGACAAGTGTTGAATACAATAGTTATAAAGCACTAATAGATTGACTTTATGCACATGTTGGTACTAGCAGTAATGCCAAACATTGGTTATGAAAAAATTCAGTTCTTTACCATACCAAAAAAGTGAGGATAGCCATCTTGATAAAACACTGAACTTACAGATTCTTTGTTGCAAAAAAACTTCATAAAGATTCAAGATGGTGCAGTTTCATAGGGTAAATTATTTATACCATGTTGTTTAAATTTTAAAATATTTTTTTAAATCATAGCAGTTCTTTTACTTGATGCTAATTCTGTCACGATAAAGTTTTATGTACAAATTTCTAGTCAGAAATCAATACTCAGTGTATGTACATTTATGTTAAAATGTTAATAATGTAATACTTAGTAACTTCTCTCGAGCCTTCAAGTCCCTGTAGTTTTCTACATCACTAAATCCCAATAAAGCTTTATTTTTGTGTGTATGTAATGGGGGTGAGGCTGGAGGGGAACCTACTATTTTTAAAATATATATATATTACAGGAATTTGCTGAATTATAATCAAGACGACATACCCACCTAAATAAAGAATATGCTAATTTATCACTTCAGCAGGTTGGCCAGGTGGTTAGGGCGCTTGACTCGCAATCTGAGGGTCGCGGGTTCGAATTCCCGTTCCACCAAACATGCTCGTCTTTTCAGCCATGGGTCATTATAATGTTATGGTCAATCCCACTATTTGTTGGTACAGGAGTAGCCCAAGAGTTGGCAGTGGTTGGTGATGACTAGCCACCTTCCCTCTAGTCGTTCACTGCTAAATTAGGGACGGCTAGTGCAGATAGCCCTTGTGTAGCTATGCGTGAAATTAAAAAACAAACCAACACTTCAGTGGGGAATAATGAACATTAATGTCTACGACATCTTGTTCTAGGCAATGAGAATAAACTGAGGGAACTTTACACTTCTGATGTGCACTGGTGAATGTGGATGCATTTTTATTATCTGAACTTAGAATGAGTATTCCTGTCTCTTATTTATTAAAGTTATGCAATATGAAGATAAGAATTCCTAACCTGTTGAACCAGTTTGGGCTTATGGACAAAATTCTAGTTTTTCAAACGAACTATTTACTAGCTGAAAGAGAAGTGGGGTTGCTTAGAAAACCTCTCCACCCTTCCAAATCTTGCTTCATCACAGGAATACTTAGGTACAAAAATGACATCTGCAAAGTACAATAATTAGGTGACTCAGTACGAAGATTTTAGCCTAATGGTAAGGTGCAATTCTTTTATAAAAATGTGTGCCAAAGAGCTTTGCACTATGCCTAAATCCACACATTTTAATTTTATCCCTGCCTTTAGTTAGTTGTAATGACCCTGTATATTTATATAAAGTGCTCTATAATTTAGAAGAAACCCACTTGAAGGCCCATATTTCTAAATCAGATAATTGGTACATTAATTTATTTTTTGATCTTTCGACATTTTAAAAAATATTAGAGCTCGTATCTTCAGTTTAGACTGTCTACTTATTAGACAGAATTTTCTCATTTTTTAGAAACATACATTTGCTTTCACACTAATTAGAATCTAAGTAAGCTCGAAACATTTTAAACATCACTTGACAAAAATATCTGTATTATTTATATATATATATATTCAAAATGTTTTTTTTTTTCAAATAAGTTTATAGAACTTTGAAAAAAAAAATTTGTAAATTACTGTTTAACCAATATTTATAGCCATGAAAAAAAAAACTTAAAAGCTTACCTGACTGATGCTAACTATCTTTTATAAACCGTATAAAAACGTTTGTACACTAATATTTTACCCAGTTTTTATCCTAAATTTTTTCCCCCTGACAAGTGCTAATATCTTCAATGTTTTTAAAATTATGCAAACTCTATTAATCTTTTAATTGAAAATCTTGTGCTACTTTTTACATAATTTTTTAAAGATTTTAGTACTTTTTATAAATGAATGTTTTTATATGTGTATGTAAAAAAAATTCTTTACTTCTTAAATATGTGGCTTATTCAATGTAAACAGAATTAAACAGAATTTACCAACAGTATTAATTGTAAACATTTGTTATCATGCCAGTAAGTATGTTCTTTATAATTATATATCAATATTTGTACAAAAATTTAACTATTTAAAAAAATATGTGATGTATAAACAAGTAGTTTTTTTTAAGATTTTCACACGTAAAACAGAAGTCAAAATGTTGTGAAGGCCAAAAACTAGATTACAGTTCCTGCTGAGATTTCTCCAGATTTTCAAGTAACACTAAAGGTTAATAGATTTCTAAATCTAAAAATATAAAAAATTTTCGACTGATCATAGAAAACTTGGAGTGTGGTTCAGAAATTTTCTACGAAGCTTATGTAACAGTCTAACAATAACGTTTTCTGCAGTTCTTGTACCGTTACCTCAGTCGCAGTGAAAGTTAAGGTATTTGTACTGCAGAGTTTTGTTGCGATAAATTTATTTTCACGTCATTCTTTTACTTGTGACATCTAATTGTATATTTCGTGAGATTATAAAACTTTAAATTATCTGTGCATGTTTTATATCATTGAGCCATTATAATTCGCTTAAGTAGATTTGTTTAACACAATATTCAATTTTTTGTGGCCCATGCAAATACGGTAGTTAATTCTAAACTTTTTAAGTTCATATGATCTCCTTAGCAATTTTAGCATGGTAAATATGTATTTATTATTTTAGTTTACACTAAAAATTTGTATCCTTGCATCATAGTTAAAGTGTGTTAAGAGTTATGATGTATTTTATCTACAACTTCTAATTGATAGAGAAATACTAAGATAATAGTGATTTTAGCAATATAGGCACGGATCAAAAGATCTTTAATCGTTGTTTTAAAATGGGGCTGAAGTTTATTTAAACTGTATCACAAAAATTACTAATACAGTTCTTAATTAAGAATTTGGTTTTTCAGTTACAATTTATAAATAAGATGTTTCAGAATTTATCTGAAATTTTGATATTTGGATTGATGTAATAAATGTGTAAAATGGGTGAAGTTTAAGGAATGTGTGGTTATTTTCCTTTTTTTCATTTTGTGTTGTTGTTGCAGTGTTTGTCTCAATAGGTATTTCATATGTTTGTTCCAGAAGCACAGTATATAACTTATTCACGTTTAAATTTACCACAGGGTTGTGTGATTATGTGTAAGATAAGAAAAAAATAAAAATACTTATATTATATGTGTTAAAAATGCATTAATTCTATGAAGAAAGCAAGATAGCACTGATTAAACCAAGCTTGTTGAATTATGTTTACGTATGTTTGAGTGTAATGACCTCAAGTCGATTCTTATTTAGCCTTCACTCGGTGATTAAAAAGCAAAATAAAAATTTGGGTTCAATGACTCATTGTTGGGTTTCAATTAATTACCTGTTTAATTTATTTGTAAATCTTTTTATTCGTTAAATTGTCCATGTTATGGTTTTTGGCTAAAGGTAATTCAACAGTTATGTATCTCCATTATAACTTATATTATGTCAGTCTAAACTGATATTGTCATATTCGTAACTGGTCTTTAGAATTTTATCATTAGATTCTTCCACGATAGGCAATTCTATTTGAGATTTTGAATCAGTGGACCCCATTGTAGACTGCACTGAGTAACAGTCAGTGTCTATATTTGTTTCATTTACATTTTTCTTGAAACATTGAACAACTTCTGCGTATGTTGGTGGTGGAGCATCCATTCTCAAGTTAATTTTTGTGCCTTTGTCATGCCCAGTACTGCACAGAGATGGATCTCGAGTACTCAGTACAGTCGTAGTTGGGTTACTATATGTTAGTGGGAGTAAAACCCTTGGGCTTCCAGCTGAGAGATAATGACACTCTGGAATTGTTGGGAGATCTGATGAGGAAGAACATGAAGACTCAACGGAAGTTTCGGACATAGTATTACAGCTAGAGGATGCTGCAGGATGGTAGATGGCATGGAAGTCCCCTGAACCTTCTGGATAACCTCGAAAGCCATGGACTTGAAAACCCTGTTTTGATAAGAAAGTTTGTGAACTTAAAGCCTAGGAAATAAAGTGGCACTAGAAAGTTTAAACTATGGTAAAAGATTATGACACAATTTTACTAAAGATCATCCATCATTGCCTGGCATGGCCAGGTGGTTAGGGTGCTCGACTTGCAATCTGCTGGTTCAAATCCCAGTCCCACCAAACGTACTCACTCTTTCAACCATAGGGGCATTATAATGTAATGGTCATTCCCATTATTCATTGATAAAAAGAGTAGCCCAAGAGTTAGCTAGCTGCCTTCCCTCTAGTCTTTCACTGCTAAATAAGGGCCAGCTAGTGCAGATAGCCCTCGTACAAAATTCAAAACAAACCAAACCAAATATCATTAAAGTAAAAACTATAAAATCAGAACCACATCAAGAATGTGATTAGTATTTTTGAAATGCTATGACGTTTTGTATTAGGACTCAAATCTAGTTTAAATGACCCAACTTAGGCTGAGGATAAATCACCATTTAAGGTATTTAAACAGTAACCATTTTACACGAACCTAAAAGTAACATTTCTATCAACATTCAACTTGTAACATTGAACAATTTTGTGGACCAATTTTTTTTTTTTTCTAATTACGAATCATAAAAAACGTGGAGCTTACATAAGTAGTGAATTTAAAACATTTATGGAAATTACAGTTTATCTAATGTCAGTCTTAACTGACGAAAATACATAAAAAGTAGCTTTGAGCTCAATGGCGATTGCCTCTTTTCTGTTAACAATTCTGAAATACAAAATGTAATCTCATCTGCAAATTATATTATGACGACAGAAGAGTTTTTCTGCTGTTGCTGTGGTACCATTGGCTGTCAACCAATCAGAAGCCAGCACCGGATTATTTGGCTTTAAACCAAAACAAACACTGGAGCAAGCTGGAGTAGCAGCTTATAACTGACGTATCTTGTACTCAGAGTTGTTTGACTCAACTAACAAGTTTTACAAGGACAACAAAATAACATATTCCACTACTGTGCAAGCAGTGGAAACGTTTCTTATTATATTCTCTGTCTTTACTCATGATCACTTCAGAAGTCACTACGTCAACATAGAATAAGGTTTATATTATAATTCAATTTATTAACAGAAATAATTCGAAAGGGTATTCTGAGAAATTTACGTACAAAATTTGTTACTAACTGGCCAGGTTGTTAGAGCGCTCGACTCGCAATCTGCGGGTTCGAATCCCCGTTAAACCAAACATGCTCGTCCTTTCAGCCGTGGGGGCGTTATAATGTAATGGTCGATCCCACTATTCGTTGGTAAAAGAGTAGCCCAAGAGTTGGTGGTGGGTGGTGATGACTAGCTGTCTTCCCTCTAGTCTTACACTGCTAAATTACGGACGGCTAACGCAGATAACCCTCGTGTAGCTTTCAAACAAACTAAACACTTTGATAACATTAGTGTATTTCTTTGAATATATAGTTGATATAACGCAGTTTTGCATATTTGGGGAGAAAATGGCAATATATACATTTTTTAAATTAACTTGTTTGGAAAAATATTATGGTTTGTTTGTTATGAATTTCCCGCAAAGCTACACGAGGGCTATCTGCGCTAGCCGTCCCTAATTTAGCAGTGTAAGACTAGAGGGAAGGCAGCTAGTCTTCACCACCCACCGCGAAATCTTGGGCTACTCTTTTACCAACGAATAGTGGGATTGATCGTCACATTATAACGCCCCCACGGCTGAAAGGGTGAACATGTTTGGTTTGATGGAGATTAGAACCCGTGACCCGCAGATTGCGACTCGAGCGCCCTAACCACCTGGCCATGCCGGGCCCTATTATTAAGGTAACAAGGTAATATAGGCTTCGCAAGTACTTCAAAATGCATCACAAAACACGTACTTACGGGACAGTCCGCGGAAAATATAACTATGAGCACCGACCTCTGGGGATCATATACGGACAGTAGTCATAAAAGTTTGTCTTCCTTTAATTCCTCTACATAACAAACAACAACATAAGCGTTATTTCATTCCGATCACGAGAGGGCCGGTAGAGAGTTACGCCCTCTCGTCATCCAAGGGACGAAAAAAAAGAAAAATGGGTAAAATGAATAATAGATGGGTAAGAGTGCAAGTCATCACAGGAGGCGGAAAATGGGGAAGACACGATCTCTGCAGATGGAGGAAACAATTCGGAGAAATATGGGTAAACATAATTTAAAATATTTATAATTTAAAATCACATATTTTGAAATATGTGTGAAGGATCGCTTATTCAGTTTGTTTTTGTTAACAAAAGAAGTGAAATGCTACCTACCAACTTGTTGATGCGAGTGATGATTGCTAATCGCAATACAACACCAGAGACAACGAGTGTTGTTCCAGTTGCCATTAACGTGTAATCCCATCGAAAGACATAGTAGAGGGTCGTCAGAACTACAGATGTGAGAAGTAAAACTATTCCTACAGCAATGAGTCCCTCTGAAAATAAGATGCACACCGTCAGAAACGCGTTACGTCTACACAGACGGCAGTTGGAATGGCGTAACTTCAATATCATCTGAAATTATTTAAAAGTATAAATAAAATTTTGCAATTTTAGGGAGGGGGTAAGGCGCATTAATTAAACAACTTAAAATTATCTGGGGGGGAGGAATATAAAAATTAATATGTGTATCAATGAGTTCTTATAAATATGGATATATTTACAGCGATTTATTCTTTAATCGTATATATATATATATTGCGAATGGTGGCGTCTGACCAAGCGTTCGTCTGTCTCCCGTTTGAAAAGCTGAGCACGGAGGCAAAGCTCAACATTCACTTTTAAAATGACGGGTGAACAGGCATGAATAATGTTGATACCTATTTTTTTATTTCACAAGCAGGATATTCTTCACTAAGTCGTCAGGAATTAATCACACTATCATTAACATTTCAAAATGTAACTTAAAGAATAAAAATGTAGATTTATCCTTTGTTATTGTTGACTGGCTCTTAGCATGATGACTGAAATGCTCAACAATTACTTTTCATGGTGGGCGGTATAAGTAGCTCAGAAATCAAGAGTACAACACATTTAACCTTTTTAAAAGACCATGAAGTAATTTTAATCAATAAATTAACTTAAACTTTTCCGTCACTAGGGACCCTTACTTTTGCTTGTAATCTATATTACAGAAAGAAAAGATAACAATATCCGCTTACATAAATTACGTAACTTACGTGGCTCAAGGTTCTAAATGTACACATATACATAATATAATAAGTTTGATTTACACATTCATATACCTAGATATACATTTATAGCAAACAATTTGGCTTGCGAGTTAATTTAAAAGTTGTGGTTGTTTTCTAAATATACAAATTTCTAAGTATTATGCGGGATAAATATAATATCAAAAATACAAGATAATTGAAGCAATATGTTCTAATATGCTTCAATTCAATTTAGATTGATATATGAAATATACATATATATATATATATGGCCGTAAAAAAATTTCCCAGTAAATATAATTATACTACTAATAATATGCATTATTTATTGTACTTTTATATTATCAGATACCGCTATAGTTATGTAATAAACATTATAGGGGAGACTGCACACCAGAAGATCCAAAACTGGAGCCATGATGTTCAACTGAATGTGCTCAACACTTTCAGAAATGGTAACTCAAACTGTTACAGTCAATCCCACTATTCCAGTAAGAGTAGTTGTGTAGGCGGTGGGCGTTGGTGGCTGATTGCCCTCCCTCTGTTCAGCAGTTATAAATATGGAAGACTGTGCCTAAGCCTTAAAAGGGGAAATTCGAGGCTGTCCTAAATAGGGTAGAGGCAATGGAATAAAGAGAAGGGTAAACTGTGAGAAATGGCAGCAGGATTTCATTAACTTAAGCTTTTACATGCGAAGGATACAGTAGCTAATCATGTAGTTAAAAACATTACTAATAGGGCTAGTATTAGTGAATTTAATTATAATGAGCAGGTTCTATTAAGTAACCGATTTCGTCCTTTAGGTTGTGCAGATGATGAACTTGAAGAGTGAAGGATAAGAAAAGGGACAGGTAGGGATGGGAATGAAAAACATAAGGTTATTGTTTTAGGAGATTCCTTAGTATGACATGTGGATAGAATAGTCTGTAGGCTAAATAGGGAGAATATAATTAGATTATGCTATAAATTGTATAAAAGTGGCAGGGTTGAGGATAGAATTGAAAGAGTAAGTGATATAGTAAAGGATGCTATCAGTGATGCAATATTTGTAGTGCACGTGCACGTTAATCATGTAGGAAAAGGTAGGTCAGAGGTTATAATTATTGGGGATTTTGTTTCAGGCATATAAAATGGGAAATGTTAAAGTCAAATCACGATAGAGACAGGTTTTTTTATTCAACAATTGGTTTGAGAACCAACTAGGAATAATACTATTTTAGATTTATTGTTAACTTCTAATATAGAAATGGTTGATAGGGTGGAGATTAGGGAACATCTTGGTGTAAGAGATCATTGTTTAATTAGGTTTGGTGTTTTGTTGCATAAGGAATAATGATATTTTGGTTCCAAATTTCAAGGAATTTGAAGGGATAAGATAAGGATTTTCTGTGAAATGGACAATTGAGTTAACTAGAAATACTGACCAAATGTGGAAAACATTTTAGAATAAATTCTTAAATATTCCACATTTGGCGTGTTCCTTATACACAAAAAGGAGAGGCTGGAAGTGAAAAACCAAGTTGTCTCACAATGAGGATAAAATTAAAGAAAGTTTACACTGGCTGCAATGATGGAAGATTTGGAGAATTTGAGTGAATCAAGAGAGTTTGTTAAATTGGAAATTAGGGACTCAAAAACTACATAGAAAAAAGATGTCTGAAAATGTAAAAATTAATAGTAAAGGTTTCTTTAAGTACATTACAGGTAAGTAAAATGTTAGGATGGAGGTAGAGCTTATGAAGGATGATACCGGAAGGCTAATATCTGATGGTTAACTGGAAGACTAATACCTGATGGTTATGGGATGACTGGGTTATTAAATTCTACTTAGTTTTTTTCTAATGAAGATTTAAATAATATTCCTGGTCCTGATCGGTTGCTAGATGGAAACAGGATTGACCAAAATGATCCCATTAATTCTGAGCTTGTTAAGAAAAAAAATTGGAAAGTTTAAAGAATGATAAAGCTCCTAGACCAGATAACATTTACACAATGGTTTTGAAGGAGGTTTACGAACGGATATGTGAGCCACTTGCTACTTTGTTTTTAAGTCCTTGAATAATGAACGCGTAGCAGAAGACTAGAAGTTGGCTAATGTCATTTCTCTTTTCAAAGGAGGTGATAAAAACTGTCCCATTAGTATTACATCGATGGTAGGAAAAATTTATGAAAGTCTGATGAAATATGCTTTGCAAAGTCATTTAACAAAGTTTAAAATTTTGTTGGATAATCAGTATGATTTCACTAAGAGAAAATCTTGCCTTATTAATGTTTTGACATTCATTCCTTGAAGAGGTTATTGCTTATGTAGATGAGGACATGGGTGTGGATTTGGTGTATCTGGAGTTTTGGGAAGCAGTTGCAAAGTGCTTGCTTAAAAGTTATCTCTATAAATCTGGGGAATATGTTGGCTCATTGGATAGAAAAGTGGGTGGATGAAAGAAAGCAGAGGATTGCTATAAATGGAGTTCAGTGTGACTGGATAAATGTCACATGTGGGGTACCTCAGAGTTTGGACCATTGTTCTCTTTTGATTTACATCAATGACGTAAATGAAGGATTAGTCAATAAATTACTTAAATTTGCTGATGATATTAAAGTTTTGCAAAAGGATCTGAATTATTTGATGAGTTGTGAAAAGTGTCTTTTAATTTTAATATATGCAAGGTAATGCATGTGGTAATACACAGTTTGAATTGTGAGTGTAATATTGATAGAAATAACCTTAAAAGTGTTATAGAAGAAAAAGATCTTGGTGTTGTGGTTCATCAGTCTCTTAAGCCATCCAAACAATGTGCTGTTGCTAGTGGCAGGGCAAATAGGATTTTATGCTGTATCTAGAGAAATACTAAATACAAAAAAGTTATAATGTCATTGTATAGATCATTGGCTAGGTCACATTTGGAGTCCTGTGTTCAGTATTTGGCTCCTTACCTTAGAAACGACATTGAATTGTAGGAAAGGGTTCAGAGGAGGGTTATTAGGATCATACCTAGAATGAAAACATTGTCATAATAGGAGAGGTTGAGATCTCTGAAATTGTCTTCACTTGAAAAAGTAGAATTAGAGGGGTTCCAATTGAGGTGTTTAAGATTGCTAAGCGAATTGATAGTGTTGTTGAATTAGAGGTGGATCTTATGGAGGTGTTTAAGATTGCTAAGGGAATTGATAGTGTTGTTGAATTAGAGGGGATCTTATTGAGGTGTTTAAGATTGCTAAGGGAATTGGTAGTGTTGTTGAATTAGAGGGGATCTTATGGAGGTGTTTAAGATTGCTAAGGGAATTGATAGTGTTGTTGAATTAAAGGGGATCTTATTGAGGTGTTTAAGATTGCTAAGGGAATTGATAGTGTTGTTGAATTAGAGGGGTTCTTATGGAGGTGTTTAAGATTGCTAAGCGAATTGATAGTGTTGTTGAATTAGAGGGGTTCTTATTGAGGTGTTTAAGATTGCTAAGCGAATTGATAGTGTTGTTGAATTAGAGGGGATCTTATGGAGGTGTTTAAGATTGCTAAGGGAATTGATAGTGTTGTTGAATTAGAGGGGATCTTATTGAGGTGTTTAAGATTGCTAAGGGAATTGAAAGTGTTGTTGAATTAGAGGTGGATCTTATGGAGGTGTTTAAGATTGCTAAGGGAATTGATAGTGTTGTTGAATTAGAGGGGTTCTTATCGAGGTGTTTAAGATTGCTAAGGGAATTGATAGTGTTGTTGAGTTTTTTTGTCGTTCATGGTGAGAATGGTAAGACTAGGGGACAGCTTTAGTTTTCCAACAGGATGGTTGGTCTTTGGAATGAGTTGCCTTTAGATGTGGTAGATGTAATTAATTTAAGGGAAAGCTCGATAAATATTTGAATGATAAGGGTTGATTTATTTTTATTGTAGAGTTTAGTATAGTGAATGGGACAGCATAGATGGACCAACAGGTCCCTTGTTGTCCTTAAATTATAGGTATGTTTGACATGGCTGTTTAGTCCATGAGGTTTAAGATACCAAATACCTAACTATTTATCCACTTTGTTTCATAAAAGCATATTTCCAACACATATATGATTTTTCATACTGTTATGGCACGCTGTTTCATTCGTTATTTTTTAATTTTAAACTTGTTTCTTATATGTTTGTTTGATAAAGTTTTATATACAAAACTTAAGTCAAGTCCTGTATCCTTCCTTACTTAAAATTATTGACTACATAGTATTAATAAGAAGATAACAACAGTTCCAAAGACAAACAGATAAGCAACGGAAAACTGAGCATATCCATAAAGTCAACTATTTAAATATAAAGCCTTATACCCATCGAAAAGTTCCCCAGGTTTACGAAGCTGTTTTGAATAAGAGTAGTATGAAATTCCTATGCTTACCTTATTTTCACCCCTCTGACAGTCGTCGCACGGTGTGCTCAGTACAAAGAGAACTTCGGCAATTCAATTTATTTCAAACTGTAAACACGTGCTTCGCAAATCACGAGACAACAGTGTCATGCTACATCATCAAATCTCTGACGCTTTTCTCGTGGCATTGTTGAAATAAGTTATTCTTGAGAAAGTCTTTACAAAGCAACCTTATTGTCTCACAGACTTATGTATTATATATTTCCCTGGAAAAAGTTTTTGTTTTGTTTTTCAACGAATCAAAGAATAGATTGTCTCTCTCCGTCATTCATGGATTCTTTGCTTAATTCCTTCACTGAATTTACATACCTTATTGAGTAGAAGAAAAATTCAGATTTAGTAAGAGCTGTTAGTATTATAATAGCATTTAACTTTCGTGTACAAAAAAATATCACACAGTCTTGCAGCAACTTTTCACTGTTATGTTCCTACAGTTAATCCGATATATTACAGTTATTGTGTATGATATGTGTGATTATTGAAGTAGGAGTTTTGTTAAATATACCGTTCTTTGTCTATTTATCTCTGGATTTTTTTTTCTTTATTGAGTATAGCTTCCATATGTATTTTTTCTCCCTTTTTAATCTTCAGTTTTTTTGTAACAAAAACAGTACATGTTTTTCGCTGTATATGTTTAGGGTTCCGTGTTTGTGGAAAAAGTGTTCTGCTGGGGCAATTTTGTATTTTCGTTATTTACGTCGATGTTTTAGTGCAAAGCTACACAATGGGCTATCTACGCTCTGTCTATAAAGTTGTCGCTGACCCCTCCCCCCCATGACTTCATATTTATATGTATTAATATGTTTCAAGATGTGTGTGTAAAGGTCTTTCGGTTTATACGCCCCAGTGGCTCGGCGGTAAGTCCGAAGGCTTATAATGTTGAAATTTGGGTTTTGGTATATATATAGAAACCGCACAGAGGATCTAGGACAAAGTTTCAGAATGAAAAAAAACAACACTAAATACCATAGGTGTCGCTAGGTGCTTAAAAGATTTGTGGCTGGGGCCCACAGACGTAGGAATTTTCGGCGTTTCATGGTTTTCTATTCTGATTTTTCATTATATCAACTGGCGATTCGGGGCACTGTCAAATAGAGTCGGGGCAAGTCCCGTGTGCCAGCGTCTAGCGACATCTCTGTTAGATACGATGGTAATAATATCTAGGAAAACTTTAATTTGACACAACGTTTCGAGCCTAAACCTTCCTTCAGGTTAGGCCTGAAACTTTGTTTTCCTATATTTTATTACCGTCGTATCTAGTGTTTTTTTTTTCTTTGTTGTTGTTGTTGTTTTATTTTTTTAGTGTATATTACTGTTGTGTTTATGTGATTTGAAAACATTCTCGGTGAAATATTCGGAGTATCGTTTTGTAATAGTAGTGTTTTAAGGTCTTTTTGTGATGCTTGAACGGAATTAGGCTTAGATTTAGTCTCTTCAATTTTATTATTGTTCCCTTTTTGATACAGCTGGAGTAGCGTGATGTATAATAGAGAAGTATCGGCTTTTTACGTTCTTGGTCATAAATTCTGTATTTTCCATCTTGAGCTATTAGGGTTGCATCTAAGAAGGTTAATTTTCCTTCTGTATTGGTTAATTGTAGTCTCAACTTGATTTCATATACCAAATATGTCGTTGATGTACCTGAAAAATGTTTTTGGAGTTAAATATATATTTTTACTTATATCAAGAGCCTTTGTAGCATAAGCATGAATGTGACTGTCGTTCTCTTACTCATTGCTATTCTTTTCTTTTACTTGTAAAAAGTATCTCCGAATTTGAAAGGTTTGAGAAATGTTTGGCAAATAATAAATCTAACACAGAAATAAAGGAAAAAAAAAGAGAGGTAAATTAATTTTTTTTTTTTTTATTTACGCGAATATATCGACTGGAGACTATTTTTACTGGCAAGATCGACTGGATCACACACACAGGTATTTTATATGGGTTTACCTCAAGTACACAAGGAAAGATGTCTAATAAGACCGACTGGATCACACACAGGTATTTTATATGGGTTTACCTAAAGTACACAAGGAAATATGTCTAATAAGACCGACTGGGTCACACACACACAGGTATTTTATATGGGTTTACCTCAAGTACACAAGGAAATATGTCTAATAAGACCGACTGGATCACACACAGGTATTTTATATGGGTTTACCTCAAGTACACAAGGAAAGATGTCTAATAAGACCGACTGGATCACACACACAGGTATTTTATATGGGTTTACCTCAAGTACACAAGGAAAGATTCTAATAAGACCGATTGGATCACACACACGGGTATTTTATATGGGTTTACCTCAAGTACACAAGGAAAGATGTCTAATAAGACCGACTGGATCACACACACAGGTATTTTATATGGGTTTACTTACAAGTACATAAGAAAAGA